GGGCCTGGGGCTGTGTGGGACCTTGAGGCTGCGCCCCTCACCCGCAGGCTGGGGACACGGCGGTCGGCTGGGCGCTTGGCTACATGCTGAACCTGACCAACATGATCCCGGCCGACCCCCCTCCGGGGCTGCGCAAGGGCACCGACTTCAGCTCCTGGGTGGTCCTCCTCCTGCTCTTTGCCGCCCTGCTCCTGGCTGCCCTGGTCCTGCTGCTGCGCCAGGCACGTCCCGCCAAGTCCTCAAGTGCCATCTAGGAACTGGCTGGGGGCAGCTGCCCAGAACCCATACCCCCCATCCCTCACTTCACCCCACATTCACCATCTCCTCCCCTAATGCACCCAGAAACCAAGACAGTGCCTCTAGCACCCCCTTCCACAGGGGGCCAAATCCAGCCCCATTAGCCCCTCCCGCCTCTGCTCCGTGTCAAGGCCTCGTGCTCCGCCTACCGCGGGTGGGTAACAGACACCCCACAGCCCTCAGCCTGTGACCACGGGCGGGTGTCCAGGAAGTGGAGCCTTTATTCTGGTCATCAGGGCCCTCAGACACCCACCCCCACCAGGGTCTGTATCAGGGGCAGGGTTCAGATCCCACAGGCTGGGACACAGCCCAGCGCCTGCTTGTAAAGTTTTGTAATAAAAAGTTTGTCCTAGAGCAGTGGAGAGAATGCGGTTGCCTGACCTCCCTCCCCACAGCTGTGTTCCCTTCGCAAGCCCACTCCTTGTCCCCAGGGTGGACCTTGGCTCTTCCAGCTTCCTCTCTGAGTCCAGACCTGGGGCAGTGCCGACCACGGCCCCCTGCTCCGTTTTCGTGGCCTGGAGTCGCTGCTGGATGGCTGGGCTAAGAGTTCCTGAGCCCCTTGAGTCTTTTCTGGCCAGCAGAGCCCCTGTAGCACCCCCAGATCTGCATCGGTGACCTAGGCCAGACTGGAGGCTGGGCCCTGGCCTAGAGTGGGCCTGGGGGTGGGGGTGGGGGGAGTGGAGATGGCAGAGAGGGTAGGTCGTGGGCAAGGCAGGTGCCTAGGGTCCAGGCAGTGTGCCAAGGGACGGGGGGAGGGGAAAACCCTTGACAGGGGGTCCTGTGCCAGGATGTTGCGATTAGGGCAGGGAGGGATGCTGGGCCCCACCTCTGGGAGGGATGAGCCTTGTGAAGAGCCGGGCTTCACCAGCGCAAGGGGTGGGGGAGACAGTTGGCCTCCCGCCTGGATGCTTTTCAACATGGGAAGAGATCTCAGAGGGCGCCCACCTGTGGCCCCTGCAGCCCCTCCCCTAGGCGCCGCTTTCTGCAGCGCTGAGAGGCGCGGGCTCCCACCTGCCCGGCCTTCCTGGGGAGCGAGCTCAGGCGCTGCCTGATCAGTGCCCCGTGTGCCAGGAGAGCGTGGCCGCCTTGCTCCCCGCCCCTCCCCCGCCCCTCCCGCGGGTTTGTGAGCCAGTTCACCAGCGGCGGGCAGCCAGCCGCGTCTCCTGAGCTCAGAGGCGCGAAGCCCAGGGCTGGGGCTCATGGCCTGAGCGGAGGGACGTTTCCAGGCGGGAGCGGTGGGCGCGCTCTCGGCGGGCAACAGGTGGATTTAACCGGGCGCGTCACAGCGGCTTCGCTGTCCCAGGGCCCGAGGGAACTGAAGGGCTGCCACCTGGGGACCGTGGACAGCTCCCAGCTGACTCGTCCGCAGCTCCAGGCCACTCTTGCCCCCTGGTGGTTTCACTTGAGAGCGGCTGCCCCACGCCCACCCCTAGCGGCCACCAACACGGGCCTGGTTCTGAGCGCGTTTGCTTTTCGCCGCGTCTCTGAGCGCCCGGGGCGTCCCTGGGCACCTCTGGGCACCCCTGGGCACCCGTGCGCACCCCTGCGCACAGCGTGCGTTCCCGTGCACCTGTCCCCGGTGCGCGCCGCGTGTCCCGGCGTCCCGGTCGCGGGAGCCCCAGACGCGGGCA